CATTCTGTTATCTTAATCTTGCGCCTCACTGCCTTTCTACTTGATGTACTGATATGAGGTGTGGCAATTTGGACCTTTACGCAGTAATGCCTGGTGCTATGTTGATATTGATGTCCCTGTTTATATACAGGGAGTAAATTGGTTGGGCATGTTAACCATTTATCTCAACAAGCATATGCAAGTTCGTGCAGTAGAAAGTCAGCCACTTTCCCAGAGGAAAGCTGCTCAAGCCGCATTAGGTGGGACAAGGTTTGAACTCACGACCAATTGGATGAAAGTCGCCTGCCTAGATCAATGAGTCGCTATTCTAACACCACTTACTCGGGAATTCAATTCAGCCTAGGTGGATTAGTGAGCTGACAAGAACATGGCATGAATACAAAAGGGTTAGTAGGCTTTAACCAACTCACACCATTTATTGCACAGCTTGCATATATATATATATATATATATATATATATATATATATATATATATATATATATATATTCTGCATGCATGCATGTTGCACACTATAGACATTATAAGTCGGAGATTTGTAAAGGCTTTAGACGTTGGATTATGTTTAACATCTTGTCAACAATCCTGGGTGGTAAAATCACCAAGGAAAAAAAGTAAAGGTTAAGCGCAGAGTATTAGAAAAGGACAATAAGTTAGCTGATAAGGTTATCAATGTTCATCGATTGAGGTGATTAGAACACTTGTTACACATGCTGGATCACCACCTATTGAGATAAGTTACACTACTTGTGATAGAAACAAGTTGAAAGAGAGCGAATGATAACCAAAATAAGAAGTAGGAAAACCATAAAGTCCCTGACCGTTGGTATGAATCGAGTAGGTATTCCAGCTGAGGTCCGTAAGACAAGTCAAACGAAGGGACAGACAGACAAAATCAGAACAGAACCTCGCGCGAACATCCATCGATCTGAGTTGCCACACTTCAAGGCAGCAAGGAAAGAACAGATGCACAGAAAAAGAATGATATCGAAGTAGACAAACGTGGACGGGAGGAAAAAGAATTTGAAAGCGAAAGTTGGCGAAGATATTCTAGTTTTAGACATGAAAAGATGAATACAACTGTACCATCGCGACCAATTTTCAGCCGTCACAAAGAGTTCTCAATCACTGACTCCTAGTCTCAATTATCCTACCCAGGTAGCTTACACCACCCTACACGGCTAGGACCAAGAATCAAACTTGATGGGTTGGTGTCACGTCTTGGTCATCCTGGACCTTCTTTTAGCCTAATCCTACTTCCCCTAGTATTGCACGTAGAGGTATGCGTTGGCTCAACATATGCAACTTATGTCCAGGTCACTTTAGTTGTTGAAGGTTCAGAAGCTCGCCGACTGATTTGTCTAATACTTAAACATTGCTAACAAAGTGATCCCGCCGTACACGAGGAATTCTACGAAGATATTTGTAGTCAAAAAACTGTAACCCATTAATATCTTCTATTTAAACAGCCATGTCTCAGTCTTATAGTACGACAGAATGGACTGCAGCACAGTAAGACAAGTTAAAACAACGGTTCAAGATTTTAGGGGATACCTAAAATTAGTCAGTGGTACAGATCCATGTACATTGTATCTTCTTCTTGATTCTGAAAATCCTATTATAACACATTTGAATTCCTATCTCTTTTAGTCGCATTATTTCTTACCATTGACACCATTTTCCTTCCTTTACCTTTTGAATCACTAATTTTCCGTCAGTGTTTATCTGAGTTATGATAACTTGCACCAATATGTAGTTCTATTATGTCCTATGCCGTTTCTAACTGACTGAACTGGTAATATGCACTGACTAGACACCCACAATGCATCTTAAATCCTGTACCTGACCTACCTAACATAATATGTGATGTGTTCCAACTATTTCAGCAGATTGAAGTTCATAAAGCCATTAACTGACTTGCTTTCTTCGATTCGTATATTAAACCTAACGTCGAGATTGTGGAGCTGTGCCTCATTAGTTTAAGTAGCCAACGTACAACCACTGGTGCACTGATTCAAATTTCACCTCAATGGTAGTGTTTTAGGCAACTGGATAGTACTATAAATCTATACCCGATAAATTTGGCTTGTAGCTTAGTGGATGGGCCTTTGCTTGACTACTGGGTGGCCTTTATGAAATATCAAAAAAGATTTGGTTTACTGACTTGAGTAATCAACTTCTAAGCAGTAGGTCGCACTCTCGAATACCATTCCACCTGCTTTGGCCAGGCTAACTGTGGTACGGTGATACCTCGAACATAAGCGTGGCTTATAGCCTGGTGCAAAAAAATGTGCCGGATTCAGTTTTATTAAATTGATTTGAACTTTATGTCCATAAATAATACTTTCCGATTGTCAGTAATGACTCAAATATCGCCCAAGTATTCCTTCTACCTCCAACAAATTTCTAAGCAATATAGTGAAGGACATGGCTTGATCGAACACCAAATGGTACAGGTTTAGTGACATCACCAGCACCACAAACAGCGTAGGTCGGAAGAAAATTGGTGAGTACTTCATATCCATGGTGACATCTTTTCAATCTCACCTACCAACGATATTGTAACTACCCATATGAAGGAAACAGTCAGTGCAGTAAACTGATACACTGCTTTTTATTAGAGTAGTTATCGAAATGGAATAGTTCTACACCACCTTTTTTAATTACGACTGATGTCTAATGTCTACTTGAGACAGTGTATGTGAGGTTCTTCGCTGATTTTGTCAGTTAGTCAGTCTACTAATTCGGAGAAGGTACTAACTTATTCATATAAGGGTTAGGGAATTTAGATGCGAAACATTATCTTCAATGTATTTCCATAGTGGTTAGGCGTCAAAATCCACCAAGATTAAAACAGCTTTCTTATCATGAAGCTGTAGCTCATAGGTTTAGGCAGTCGACTTCCAACTTTTGAGTCAGGTTCAGACTTTAATCCGTGTACCATGTTTCGGGTAGGTAGTAATTATCACTATTCCTTGCACAATAAATGAAGTTCATTTCTTACCTCATGGGTATTCACATGGTTGCTGAGACATTTTAGTTATTTAGAGTATTTTGATACACAACTAAGAGTTCATCCTTTAGAAGTAAACCTGATCTCATTTTCAAAAATGACAGATGGGCTTTCCAACCACATGCTTTTCGTACACTGACAAGTAGAGACATTTTCTGGAGCTAATGCATCCAATTCACTCATTATTCATAAAGCAGGCATCTGAATAGACTAGTCCTGAAGCAGCATCTTTGGCTGAAAAGACATGAAGTATTTAATAAATCTACTTAGAGGAACACAGATGAATTTTCCCACGGTAGAGTCTGACATAAATATATTATACTAAGTGATGATTGAAGGTGAGATGAAAATCTGGACCGTGGTCGGATTCGAACCAGCGACCGCCGGGTCACTGCCCCGGTGCTCTACCAACTGAGCTATGAGGTCCGACTGATGACCAGGATTTTATTTCACTTCACTCACCAAGGGTTTTGCCCGACTAACATGCGAATCCGTGACGCGTTACTACCGCTTGATCGTACTCACACGGACTACCTAGTCGGGACTTCTTATCTCAATCCAAATCTAACTGAATTAAAGAGCAGGAGCATCATATTGATTATCATTTGACCAACTGAGATATTCGTAGTTTTGGCAGACTAATATTTGTACTGGGTGATAACTGAAGGTGAAGGCGGTCCAGATTTTCATCTCACCTTCAACCGTCACCCAGTCCAAATACTAGTCTGCCAAAACTACATCCATTTCAGTCAAATGATAATAAGTATGTTGCTTGTGCGAACTAGATTAACCTACCAACCTTCATATGGCAAATCAATCTCTGAGTGGTCAGACCGAAATTTCTAGCCCCATCTGCAAACCTACCACTGAATTCCCAAGGTTTAGTGGTAGTAGACATACTTAGGATGCATAAACGATTTTGAAAAGTCATTCAGACTTAACACATCATGACTGTCTAGTCAACTTTACTAATCATAAACAGTCGGAAACAACCTTCAGAAAGTTTCGGCTAATGCTACCTAACTGATCACTTTAGTGATTGTTAGTTACGACTTTACGCAAGCAAAATAATGCAATCGCACATACGGCTATCGACCTCACCGTTTATGCTTCTGTTTATTTAAGTCACTATCATTCCACTACTTCTGATATTTTTTTCTGTACCCTGTTCAACTAGAAGTTGTTTTGTTTAAAAAGAGCACTACCTGGTAGTGTATACTAGAAATGATCACAAGGCGATGACGAAGGATAGCGACTTACAACCAAAAACTCCCTACATGGTCCTGAACTACGCAGACTCACGTATCAGTGAAGACATATCATTTAAGTGGAAGCATATCTGTAAAAAGTAGAACCAAAAAATACAGTGAAAAGTCTACAGACGATAGTTTTGACGTGTGAGTAGGCGTCAGATTATGGTTGTGGACACGTTTGTGTGAAGGCAGGAGGATTATGAAAATATTAACCATTACGAAAAGCAGTAAACACTGTTGGCTGTTATTATTTATACAATTCAAAGGTTGGAAAACTACACAACTGATAAGGATTCCCATTGAAACTGATCTTTTACTGATGACTCACACCAAATATGGTACGAAAGGTTTGTAACACTCGGCGAGCCTGATTAGTTTCATCTGTCTTTAGTCAGTTTGAAAGTTTTTGTTTACTATTCGTCTTGCTATTTGGTCATAAAATACCGATATCACGACTGCAAACATTTATGTTACCTTGTGAATTACCTGTTTACCGTGACTATGAATTGATTGAGCACTCCAACCAATAAATACAGAGGACAGACACCATAAAAGCTACAGGCGTGAAATTTCCAGGGACAAATTGCAGAGTGTAAAGCTTAATCACGTTATTTTAGCAAACATTTCTGAGATTATGTGTTCATAGTAAAATAGAATACCAAATAAAACACATGAGTATTTTATTTCAACTATGAAAATAAAGGACATTATCGTGAAAAACGGTTGGGACTAACCAAATAGGCAGTTGATACATCTACACAGAGAGTTCATTTCAACAGCAGACGACCTTGACGTCAAAAAATTTGAAAGCTGTTAACCTAAATATTCCAAGCACTCAAACAATTTCATTTTCCAGGTACACGATTCAGTGTCCAATATCTGTATTGCGAGCTCACGTACATCAAATGCTATCTTCATGCTTGACTATAGATTTTGAATAATGCCTGTATGTCTGTCTTGGATTCTAACATAGCAAACCAGCCAACTCGACAGCTGACGCTCTGGTAACCATTCATGCTTTTTGGTGTGGGTTAAACTTGTAGGGAGGTGTATAATTTTTGTTAGAACTTGAAGGTAAATGGTTTCCTCATATTTCGTGCCATCATAGTGTTGTTAGAATCTGTCTTAGAATGGAGATAAGGAGATTGAAGTGATAATGAAGAGGAGCAAGGGAGAGGAAACTAGAAAAATAAAAATTTTGAAAGCGGAAGGCAAGAAAAGATTTAGGCAAATTCGAAGAGAATGGAACAGAAAACTATGATGCAGAGAATATTGCTGAGTCGGGTAAACCCATAGAGAGTCGGAGAGAAGGAAAGAAGCAAGAAAGATCATTCTGATGGTAGTGGAAATAGAAATAGGTGTTATTAGAATTGTGGCAACTGGGCAGTAAAACATCTTTCAAGGAGGCGTAAGAATGAATAGAGTTCATGACATTAGCGGCAACAGAAACTATTCGACATGCTGCCAACTTCCTTCCAATGATGAGGCAGCAGTTGGTTGCTCAAGCCTATTCCGCATCCCAACTACCTGTAGGTAAGCCACGTGTCGCCGCTTAGCCATCCAAAAGTTTCTTGGATCAGTCGATCCCAGCAGGCATACGTGTTTCCACCTTCTGATGGTCATATTCTTCCTGAGTTTCCATGGGGATTACCAAAGTGGTCGCCTAGTCAATTTCCCCATCGAGGTGACTAGGGTTACTTGGCATCTTTCAAACCGACACCGCGTAACCCACCATAAACAACGTGACGGAGACCTGTCTTCTCTAATCTCTCCTCGTATGGCTTTTCCAAACCCTTTGATACACTACGTGGCTTGCCTCTAGACTATCTCCCGGAGGTTCACATCTCTGTATGTGTGGCTGTGCAATAACTTCAGGAACCTCCAAGTGAGGTCATACACGGGTCTTATGAGGCTTCAGAAGTTTCGGATAGTGGCAAGCAACTGTCTGCGTGCGAAGTGTAGTCATGTGTAGGCTCTAAAGGCGTCTTCTGGATGACTGAAACCAGCACCTAGTATACCAATTAGTAATATTCCCAGGCCTTTCCCATTGGCCTTGTGCGGAAGGCCGCCAGAAGGTTCGAAAAGCAGGACCAACACATCCAGTAGATATGATTGGGATCACAGTTCCCCGTTAGTGTCCAAGTGCGCCCTGGTGTAGTCACCCGTCAAGCTTTGATTTTGACAACAGAATTTTGACGATAGAATTGCCTTGGGTCGATAGCGCGTTCGGTTCTGTCTCCTCTTTTGAAAGTCTGAGGGGAAGAGAAGCACGTTCCCACTGCCACTAGGCTTTAGGTTCACATAATGAGTATCGAAATGGATCACAGTGTGAGCCACAAACAGTGCTTGCGGAGAGCCCTTGTAAGGAAGGAGAAACGTCTCCGCATCCTGAGTATTTTCATGTGAGCAGAGGCACCAGAATCACATATTTAGGTGGCTTATCATGGGGGCCTCATATCGTCTGCCACATCTCCATCACATGAGGAACGTGCCTACTTATTAAACGAGTTACATTTGTGGGCCTCGTCGCCTTAAGCTAAAGTGACACCGCATTTATGGCGACCATTACAATGGCAAGAAGAGCTTACTAACGGTCACCTCCCTATCCCCCGACTTTCCCCCTTTGCGTTTCTAGGGCAGGTCAAGGCTTGAATATGGCGTGCAGTAAGTTTTGCTTTCCGGTGACCGTGGGCAGGAGTGTCTGGAGTGATGAAGCAAAGGGGTCTGGATTTTTAGGTGTATCGGCATCCTGGATCGTTTTTCTAGGTTAAACTCAGACGATGACCCAGGGTTCTTCGGGCAGCTCCTTTACCACTTATCTTCGGCCGTAGTTTTTAATGAGAGGAGGACAGCGAATCTACATTTGAGGTGATCTTTGGATAGGGCTTAACCACCTGACTGCTCCAAGCGGCGAAAAATGAATTCGACCACCTGCTCGACCTGGGCATTATCAGACCGTCAAACAGTCCTTGGGCATCGCCATTGCACATGGTTCCTAAAAAGTATAGCCACAACTGGCGTCCAACCGGTGATTACCGAAGGCTCAACGCCGAAACAACTCCGGACTGCTACCCGATACATCAATACAAACCCTCGTACACTTTACCTTTTTTTATATCAATTTTTATTTACCATGTAATGAAATTTTTGAAGAAAACGGTGAAGACAAGCGTAAATTTTTATTTTTCGATATGTTTATATATATAAATTATTCTCATTTTTACGTAACGTTTTCGTGGTATTAAAGACTTTTATTTATATTCCAGGTGCAACGAGCACTGGACGGAACATCGAAAGGAACAGATGACCGCGACCGACGTACAATCCGATTTATTTTATTTTATTTATTTAATTGCCACGACACCCTAGAATAAGGTTCAGACAACCAGGGGGCACCTCACGCAGTGAGCCCATCGGAAGAGTTTTACCAGTGGAGAAACCACTGGGTCTTTACTTCCGGCTGGTATCGTCTTAGGGTCCTCACGAACCCACTAGGGGGGGAGTGATCTGTAGCGTCACACTTCCCCAAAATCAATAGCCTAGGGTTTGACAACTTTCGACATTGATGCTGACCTTGATAGTTTAACTGGACTCGCTAAGCTGAAGGCACCCGGTCAAGCATCCTCGCCATTTGGCACGCTGTCGTGTTACGTTGCACTGCTCGTATTCGACTCTCTAGCCAGTTAGTTGGAATGCATCGGTATTTTGGCATAACCATCCAAATATACTATTCCGTCCGACTACGCTATCGTGTTCTTCCTTGGTCTCGTATTCGTGGGTATATAACAAGTTCGAATAATTAGTGATTGGTCTTTGCGTCTGTCAAGTTCGCACCAGGACAAATCCTAAATGCTGAAGAAGGCTTCCCTTAATAACCTTCTCCATAATTCTAGAAACTGAAGGCATAATGTTTATTGGTTAGTAGTTACTGGCTAGTGTTTTTGAATCAGATTTGTACCTAGGTAGAATAAATGTTTTCCGGATATCGGGGTGTGCGAACAATTCTAAAGACATAAAATATTTTAAGTAATAACATTGGAATACTAGGGACACAATATTAAAGAAATATGATGATACTCCTTCTGTACCAGCGCCACTGGAGCATTTTAGCGTCCTAACGGCTTGGATAATATTGGAATGTGTGAATTCAGCTATAGCTGTAGGTTTTAGTGGAGGAGAAGAATAATTTTAGTGGTAATGAGCATATTAGTACTACAAGAAAGATCTGCAGGCCCCGGATAGCTAACTTCAAATAAGTCACTGAATATATCATGCACACTTGTTGGGTTATTGTAAGCCTTGATTTCATGACTACGGAGTAGAACGTTATGTCTTGTGCGATTCAGTCGCTTCTTAAGGAGTGCCGAGACAGCATATTCTCTAGAGGAGCTAGCTAGCCAGCGCACTACTCTCTTCATTCTTCATGAGCAAATTGTGGTTATGCGAGACAGAGTTAGGAATGCCAAGAGTCAGCCGAAGCGCATCGAAGCCATGATGTCTACGGCATCTAGCTGAGAGTTTGCGTAACTTTTGACGAGCACTGGAGGGTATATAGGCCTCACTGTTTGGAGGTATCTTTGAGAACCTTCGGTGGGATGGTGGTGATTGTCTCCCACCCGACCTTATCTATGTTCGCGTATCAAGATGCTTTTGTAGCTGTTTCGGTACATGTTCCACAAACGGAAGTCATCTATCATTACCAGTTACGAAACGCATTTTTGATAAAGGTTATGAGGTTGATGCTGAAACAGCCCTGAAAATCTTGATACCCAACTATAGGGGGTGCATAATTATGTTTGCGGAGCGGCTTTTCATACACAAATTTAAGCTTCTGTTTTGTCCAGAAAGAGTTTTATCTTCGCTCTACCCCAGTAGCTTTGATGTTGTCCCATTACTAACGCCAGGTTCAAGTCTTATATTTCCCCTTTCTTAACCTTTCCAATCTCTAAATTCCTGCACGCCATACCTTTCACTCTCCCATTTCCATTTTTCATACAAGATCTTATGGTAAGAAAACATGGGATCACGTTGTTCGAAGTGTATGGCGCAGACATTTCTCATTTTTTAGGAAAAACTATATCTTCCAATCATGGTTACCAAAATGACTTGAATGGATATAACTGGGACTATTCGTATTGCTGTGAAGCAGTACATTGTCGTTGCAATATCACACTTCAAAAATTGCAAAACATATCAAGAACTGTTTGGATCGAAGTGGTTTTCATCATTCCTCTTCCTCTTTTTGCCAGGCAATTCTGTTAGTAAACTGGAATTTCCTGCAATAGTTCACGAAACTAAACCACAAAATGCCAGTCACATCAAAACACTTCACATTTTGATCAAGCGACGGCCTATCAATGTTTAATGGCACATGTCAAAGTCAAAATTACACTGAACTTCAACCATGAAGGCTCGCTGGGTAATCTGATAGTTGGCCTCATATACACGGTTTCGACCCAAAATTTATACTCTTCAGGCATGAAAGAGCTGACTATCATTCTGGTGGAAACTTAGTGGGAGGGAAGTTCTAGAATAGTTTATTTCAGCCTTGTATGCTTGATTGCGTAATTCCCGGAGAACGGCCTGTGTGTAATGATGTTTATATCTGGGCAAAAAGATTGCTTTATGTAGGAACCTTAGCCAGAAAACAAGATTTATCCCAAATCGTTCGATCTAAAATAGCTACAGTTTAAGAGATACACATCTCGATACTTAGTCCTGTTCACACTTGTACACTGGCCAACCAGATATAAAGTACTTCTGAACGCTTT